TTTCTCTGTCGGCTCTAGTGACCGGGCATACAAAGAATTGTGTTTTCTTTTGGGTTGTTTTCCTCTTCACGACGTCTTCTATTTTGTCGAATGTGCTATCTTTAGGGCTGCTGAATTGCCCGCTCATATTCCTCCAGTTTCTGTATTATAATAGTCTTCTTTAATTTTTAGTAACGCGTTAATAAAGTAATTCGTTGCCAATACTTGTAGCGAAATTACATTAACAATTTCTGCCGAAAAAAAGATTAACGTGGCAATTACAAAATTACTTAAAAAAGTATCGTATTTTAAGCAATCTGTTCTGTAGCGGATAACATTTCAAATCTGAAGTTTGATCGTATATGTCTACTATATACCAATCAAAGCGATGACTGTATACTCCTTTTCGAAACATGCGCTGTCCCTGTTAAAGATACTGACGCGGGCACCCGCTTTCGTCGTCTTTGACGGCGTTTGTCGTCTGCTTCTTAATCTGCAGGGGTTGTGGTGACGTCAGAACGCCGAGCTCTGATTGGCCGAGACTGAAGGATAGTGGGTAGACCTTAAGACAGCTAGCACTGAGGTCTACCCGCTATCCTTCAGTCTCAGCCAATCAGAGATCGGCATCTCTCTGACGTCACCACAACCCCTGCAGAAGAGGCAGACGACTTGCTCTCCACGTTGGAACGACGCCTACATAATGGACGCATACGCTCCGCGTTTCTTAAACCGTCACTGACATGATTAGCATGAGAAGGACTACTATATTGTCACTGACAGTTTCAAAATTTAAGGCTTACAGGCCGATTATACGTTAGCACTTATCGCTTCGTGATTCGCTTTCCGGCGTTCTTTTCGGATATAATGCCGGAAGCTCAATGGTGGCGAAGTCATAACAAGATCCCCACACTCGCGACGCCATGCGTTCTTCGGGCTCTCAGTGCCTTTTTTCTTTTTTCCAAGTTTCAGGTTTATGTTGATTAAAAAGGGGAAGGGAGGCGAGGGGAGGTGTACAGGAAAAAGCTGTAACTTGACGAGGCTCCCTCAAGTATGGTTTACACTGCTTATGCGTCGTACAAATGACAGTCTACAAACACGAGTCACCGCAATATCCCTGGTTCGAATGCCGCGTGCCCAATTTTTTCCTTAAACTCACTGCCCTGCGGCATTCGAAGCACGAATCTCGCTGTGACTCGCTTTCGAATTGGTACGCAGACTGTGTTTTGTATGATGTACAGTGCTAATCACACTTGTCTATAACGCGCGAGCGTGCGGCCTTCTCCGGGGAGCGCTAGACTGGTGGCATTCGCGGAAACTAAGCTAGTCACGTGGCGCAACATGGAACGGCCCGCTCGAGGGATGTCCTGCCCACTCTATCAGCTGGCGGCGAACGCGGAAGGCTGCTCGCACGCTTTTTACAAACATCATTGCTCGTACAATAAACAAACTAAAGCATGAAGGCGTATCAACGATGTCGTCATCAAAAAACAAAAATATATCATAAAGCACCTTACTTTTATCGCTTATCAAGCTGATAGAGTGGACAGGACACCCCTCGAGCGGGCCGTTCCATGTTGCGCCACGTGACTAGCTTAGTTTCTGCGAATGCCAACAGTCCGGCGCTTCCCGGAGAAAGCCGCACGCTCGCGTGTTATAGACAAGTGTGATTAGCACTGTACAAGCAGTGTGACTCCGACTTTACAGTTCAGCGTTAGAACGAGACACCGTCAAAATTAAAGTGTAGAATTCAATCGAATTATCAAATGTTTTGTACATTAGATCTGTTTAAAACGATACTAAACACGACTAATAAGCACGCTATATTTTTTTTCACTTCTCACCCCAATATACACTTTTGTTGCTGTTGTTGTTGTTTATTTAAAAACGATATCACTGCCCACAAGGTGCTCTCTGGTATTTTTCTTGGAAATGGGAAAGGAACATTGGAAGCTTATATGGTCATCAATTTTATTTACCAAAAAATTAACTTGGTATTTGAATTGTTGCTTGTCGTAGTTCGCACATATTTCTGGTGTTTTTCGGGTGTTGTTCCTCGGTGTTCGATTTGAGATAAAACTCCTTGGGTTAAGGGGCAGCTTCTCCGCGTGTATAAGCTGAAGCAATTTCAAGTACTATATTTTGTTAGCCTTTCATATGGGGCATTTTTTTTCGAGAGTGTTTTTTCGGTCAAAAAGATTACAAAGTTATAGAACTGATTAAATTGAGAAGTTCAAATAATATGACTCTGTAGGCTGAACAGGAGGTTGATTTACATCATCGGAATGATTTTTCTCTATTGATTTCTGTTCAAACTGGCAAAGAAAGGGTGATATACGAGTGGTTTAATGAGTGTTCTCTCCGAACTACGTGCGCGTTTACTGTCGGCTTGGAGACCCAGTTATATCCGATCAACGGGCGCTGAGCAAATCGTGACAGTGGAAAAAGTAAATTCGGCGACCTGAACACATGACACGTCGTCTCACATACTCACGTCTTGCTCAATGACTCAACGCAAACATTGTTCTCGCGGCGACTTTTTTAAATCTTTTTAGTTGAGCTAGTTATGGTGTAGATGGCAGTGATTGTCTCTTCCGTCGATCTGCAGAAAAGCGCTTGACGCGCGGACTTTTGTCTAGACTGCATGCAGGTCCTGAGCCGTTTACAATCTATATAGCTTTTACTTTTTCACCCTCTCTCACACACACTCTTTTTCAATACTGTTTGATAGTATTTTAACCACCACCGTCTACCGGTTGAGACGACCGTTTAATTTGAGACAGCCGCCTGGAATGTGGAGTGTTGAGCTAGTTTGTACATATTCAACATATTCAAACAGCACACGTACACCATGTGCATATGTTTAATTTCTGAAGCTTCGTCTTTATCTTTTCCAAGTCATAAGCTGTCTGGAAAGATATCGATCGTACGTTTGGAGTAATAATAACTATAATCATCCCTGCTTCATCCCCGCTTTTTTCTACTTTTCCATTTTTTTTTTCTATGTTTGTTTCTGCCACGTCGATAAATCCAGTTCGCACACGTTTACTCCGAGTATGAAGGGTGCAATCTCTCTGAACAAAATATTGTTATCTCTAACCTCGAATATAGGAAAGTCTACATCCAGCACTGTAACTGCTGACTTACATTTTTTTTTATATTCCTTCTTCTCTAATAACATAACCTACATATCTTGATTTTTTTTTTTTTGTTGTTTTCTGTGGGAAAAGTTACTTGGTCAAACAGGTTCAACTAGAAGATCTGAGTTTTGTTGGTGGTTATAGTTATCGCTGTGGCTAGCGTATACCTACATGTATACCTAACCCTCCCCCCCCCCCCCCTCCTCTCTCTCCCCCGTGAGCCTAGAGAAGGTGGAGATTTGGACGTAACGCTAGACACTTCGTATAGTCATTACAGCTTTTGCGATCAGTGTTCGCGGCAAATTCACGCCCTGCTTTTCCGCATTGTCGTTACTTTAACAGATGCATTTTTGCGGATGGGTGCACTATTATTCCTACATTTATTGTACGATTAGAAATGTTTTAGCTCCCTGAGTTTAGTATTAGATAAAACGCGTGCTATTTCTCCACACTCACACAGATGGGCGCTCTGTGTTTTGATAGTTGCGGGCGCGCGGCAGATGTCTTACTCCCCATTTCGGAATATAAAAAGCTTAATCTGTGTGTAGACACGGTAAGCGGAACGCCAGTCGTACACCCAGGAAACTCGAACCACACTCCGCGTGCATGACAAGCCCGTCATCAAGGCTTCAGCTCGCTAATGCACATTGCGTGGCACTAAAAACGCAAACAAGCGATCGCCAGTTTATTTTTTTTTTTCTACTTTCCTCTGAGAATTGAAAGGCCGTAATCAAATCTGCAACTGCGGTGAAAAGTGCTCATTAAAGACACTAACCAGGCTAAGCGTAAATGTGAATGCTCGTGAATGGGCCATGACATATCCGCGTGAAAAGGAAAAAAAAAAGAAAAGAAGCGCCGATGTCGTGTTCGAAATAGCAGTGTCGAGCGGTGTACCCGTCCGGAACTTGCCAGGATACCGTGTCCAGCATTCCGAAGTGACACCGATCAAAAAGCACCAAATCATGGCTCAAATTCAAGAAAAGGACTCCCCGCCGTCCGTCGGGAAGAACAAACTATCGAGCACTCCAGGGAGAAAAAAAAGAAAAAAAAGCCCGCTTGCAGAAGGAACGCGATAGAAAAACGTTTAACTCTCGCTTCCCGCACTGCCCTCGGGGAGGGGGGACCAAACCGAAAAGAAAAAGAAAAGGCAACTCAATTTCCAACTCAATAGACCAGACAACAGTTTTGCAAACTCGCGAACACCACACCACCATCACCACCGAGCACGAGGTTGACTCCCCTCTCAAAACGTTCGCCTGGGGCCAAAAAGATCGGCCCGCGCGCTTCGTTTTCTGAAAGAGACGGCACCGCAGGGCGAAGGGGCGGGGGTTTGAAGGGGGGGTAGTAGCTCGTTCCTTCACTGCGTAAACAATGCACCCCCCCCCCCCCCCCTCGTTTTCTACACCCAAAGCACACAGCTCCCCCTTCCTTTCTCACAAAACAACACGCGCAAAACACTCACAAACAGACAGACACACCACAAGCTCCGGAGAGCCCAATCCGGCGATCCGGCGGTCCGAAAAAACGCCGCGGCACTTTTCAAAAGTAGTAGAAAGACATACCCCCCCCCCCCCCCCCCCCCCCTTTTCCAACCTCCCTCCCCCCCCATCCCCGCCTCCCACTTGTGCCCCCTTCAAGCATACCAGAGCAGTCAAAGATGACGAATAAGTAAAATATCTCACGAAAGAGATGGGTACACTACGATCAAAAAAAAAAGGAAAAGAAGAATATAGTTTAAAAACACAAAGCGGCAAAAAAGAGAAAGGGAGCCAGGAAGACGGAGAAGAAGCAGCAGCGAGGAGCGAGAGAGAGCGCAAGACGGTGAAGAAGCGACCCTCCGCCGTCGCAGAGGCAGTGGCTGCAGTTCCAGCGCTTTCCCGCCGCCCCGCGCGCGCTCTTCAAGCGGGGAGCTTTGGTAGCTCCGGCGAGCGGGCGGGCCGCTCTCGCTGGGCTCGCTTCGCCGCCGCTTCAGTCAGTCACCGGGGCGCGCTGCTGTGCTCCACATGGACTCGCCGCCGCGCAGCCGTCCGGCGCCTCCGCCAACAGTCCAGCGCGACCAGTGACCGCCGCGATGCGAGTACCCGTCCTCGTGGTCGTCGCCACAGCCGCGCGCCTACTCCTCGCGGCCGCGGTGCCGGCTACGACGACAAGAACGACGAGGCACGAACTGAGCAACGCCATCGAAGACGTGGCGCTGGCTTCGTCGGGTCCCTCTTCGTCGGGCCCCTCTTCATCGGGCTCCTCTTCGTCGGCCCCCTCTCCGTCGGTGTCTTCGTCGGCATCTGCGCCGCAGTCGCTGGTGCATCGCCGCAAGGACGTGGCCGCCGTGTCGCGACTGCTTCAGGTGTTCGGGGTGCGGGAGCCCCGACGTCGGGAGCGGCACCAGCAGCCGCCGGAGTACATGCTGGAGCTGTACAACGCCACCACGGGTTCCGGGGGGATTACGCGGTCGGCAAACCCGTACAACGCCAACCTGGTGCGCAGCTTTCCGGACAGGGGTGAGCGTTTTGACACTCCTCCCGAAGTGCGTGCGTGCGTGCCTTCTCGCACGCGCGCCCACGCGAAGTTGTCGGTTTGGTACTCTCTGTTTCGATGACCGCACGAGCGTATTAACTAACTTATGCGCGGGCGTGCATGCGCCCCAAATACTGCCTCGTATATGAAACGCAGGACCGTGTTTGTAAACAGCGGAAATGCGCCGGGAAACGAGTTTGCACCTCAACAGGTTGTGGCGAGATTTCTTTCGGCCAAGAGACAGCTGATGGGGGATTTGCTCACCGCTCGTACGCCGACAACGCATCTAACGCGGATTTTTCTGAGCGGCGCGTGTATTGCGATCACTTTGGTCTTATTGTCGACCACAGCAACAGGTGCACACTTTACGATAAAAAACCGGCTGCGACGTAAGTTGATCCATCGCGAAACTAAAACCATGTTTATGTCTTCTTTTTTTAATCTTGAGTTTTGGCATTGACGATAAGTGCCCGCGCACCCCTTCACCCCTTTCAAATGCCGGTGCGTCCATTCTGCTTTACCATTAGATCACTCGGTGAGTCAATCGCTGCAAACTGCGCAACAAACCTGGCGAATCAATATACCTAAAATATCATCTTCACGAAACAAAAAAAAAAAAAAACAAAAAAAAAGAAAAGAAACGAAAACTGCAATGTGACACATTGAGTCTAAAGTTTCACCCGCTCGTGTCATGCTCGGTGCCGTATCGCAAAGTTTATTTCTGGGTCAAAACGGCTATACCTCCCTTGATAGTCACCGATGCCTTAAAGAGACACTGCACTGAAGAAAACAACAACAACAACTATGTTTTGTTTTATTGCAGCGTCCCTTTAAAGAACGCAGAGCATGGCGAGTCCCAACTACTGTTTTATAATGATGTTCCGTAGCGATTCCGGCATCCACCGATAAGAAACCCGAAGAGAGAATCATGATGCAAGAAGCGTGAAAGTATAATACGGAGAGCCAATCACAGTGATTGGCACAACGACTTATCCTGCAGGAAACCAGATACACGGGGTTGTATACTTCGTTTCTCTTCGTACTACTCCTGCCATTTTGATATTTCAGAATTCCCGGTCTATAGGTCGTTTTATACTTACCGTTTTATAATTCGTCTCTCTTTTTACTACGGACATTTGTTTTTTCTTAGCTACTTCAATAAATACAGGCTGTCCTTGAAATAAATTTACATGGATTTTTTTTTTTTTTCACCGCAAAAATCAATTAGGCATCGCCGAATTTTCATTTTCTGTCCAAAGGCAGCGCTAGAGGTCTGAACCAGAGGCTAAAGTTTCAGTACGAACCGATATTTTATTCAAAACTTATGCGATTTTCCGAAAATTTCATTGGGAAAATGATGGCCGACGGAGCTCTCCAATACATGGGGCTCTATGGCGCCGGAAGCTGGCAAGAATGGGCCGCATTTTCCCATTGAAACGTTCAAAAAATCACTTAAATCTCTTGAATAAAGTATGGACTCGTACTGCAATTTTGGCATCTGGTTGTGACCTCTAGCGATACCTTTGGGCGGAGAATGAGTTCGGCGATCCCTAATTTACTTTTTGCAATAAAAAGAAAAAAAAGAAAGAATCTGTAAATATTTTTGGGGACACTGTGTATTTTTTGAACCCTCCGCCTTTACCCCATTCCGGCATGCTATTTAGTATCGCGAAATTCAGAATAGTTATTGTGAAATCGGCAAGTCAAAATGATATCAAAACCAACATTATAAATAATTATAGTGTAATTAATTGCAAAGGTGCAAGCGAGCTGGACAAGAATGACGAAAATAATCCCCGGAGAAGGGGAACAAGAGGAACAAAGGACAAACACAAATCTCCAAACACAGCTAGGTGACTGGTGCGCGACCGAATAAATCCGCCTGGTCCGGGTATCGAACCCGGGACCTCTTATAAATAATACATCCGAGTTTTTCAGTGCCGTGACGTCAGTGGCAAGCAGGCTTGCGGGTTAAACAAACAGACTAGAAAAAAGAACGAAAAAAAGGTTATATTGAGCAACTGTTTCATGCTGCTGCGCGGGTGCATGGATCGAGCTAACGAGGGATTCATTTGACAACATGAAACTGCGTGTAATCAGTTGGGAACAAATTCTACAGTCGAAAGAGTGAACCCCTGCCTGCCACTGGCGTTACTTTTTCATCGTTGCCGGTAGATACGTTCACTTTGAAAAAAAAAAAACACGGTGAGGACCAAACTTGTAAACTCTCGAAGTTCACGAAAGAAAACTTATTGTAGCCTAATGCTCAGGTTACTATTTCAGCGACGTTTGTTTGTATGTTTAGCAACTTTTCTATCAAATCGGAAACCATGAAGTTACGAGCTGATGAGCCCAATCGTATACATGACGAACGCCAACATGGTGTTCGTCAGGTTTCTGTACGTGTTCCCTCATCGCTGAACCAAACATGTATTGGCTGCTCCAAATTGTATATGGAGCAGCCAATGCTAGCTAAGAACGCTGGACGCAGCAACTACCGAGCAACTCATAAGATGCTCGGTATAGTTGCCGCACTCTAAAAAAAGTCTGTGCGTCTACTTTCACGTACAACACTCGGAGAGCCAATCAGCGCAACTTACGGAGGCAGCTCAGCGAATGACGATGCCGGAACATCTGTTTAGACCAAAAAACGCAGACTGAGTTGTGACATTAAGCAATGCAAGCGTGACGTTCTGCATTGCTTACTGAACCGAAAAGTCGAGTTCACAAAACAAGGCCGGGCGGATAGGCGGGAAGCTGCAAAACCAAGAAATATGATTCATACGGCGATATATCTAACGGATCGCCGTATTTTTTGGAAAAGAAGTGCGCGATTGAACCCGGCCGACGTGGCCGACGCGACAAGGAACGTCACGATTCCCATTCTCTCTCCTCCTCGCTACGTCCCGTCAAGCTGGTGAACCGAAGCGAGGAGGAGAGAAGCGAGGCCGCTTCTCCTCATTCTCACATTCTCCCGGAGGACAGTTACGTCAAAGAACTCGCTTGATCGCTCCCTTCTTTTCCAAAAGTACGGCCATCCGTTTGAGATATCGATGTACGAGTGATGTTTTGGAGTTCATAGCGTCCCGTTCAACACTTCTGCAGCCTTACTTTGCGAAATCCAAATTTCGGTTCAGTATCCCTTAATGTCACAAATCAGACTGCGTTTTTTGGTCTAAACATATGTTTCGGCATCGTCATTCGCTGAGCTGCCTCCGTAAGTTGCGCTGATTGGCTCTCCGAGTGTTGTGCGTGAAAATAGATTCACAGACATTTTTTAGAGTGCGTGTCCTGCGTTCTTAGCTTGTCAGCGACTCTGGTTCGCTCGTACGCACGCAGTGGTTGTTCCGCATACGACGTTCCTTCGAGCTCAGTGGTTAAGGTCTTGCCTAATGGCGTTTGAAAACGTGCTTCAACGAGGATGTGGCGTGAGGAGGCCATATAGCCGATGATGGTCATTGCGGTATACGCAGACGCTGCCAAAGGAACACGCGAGTCCTGCGGCGTGAGTTTTCCCGTATTTACGCTTTTGTTACCTCCCTGATCGAAGGAAAACGAATACACTTTGCTTCCCGAGGCGAACGATTTATAACTCAACCGACCAAGTTATAACTAGCCATTTACGGCGATTAATTTCGTATTGGGCACGCTTGCCAAAGCGGAAAACTCGCCATTATCCTGTCCGTGCCGAACCTTCGCCTTATCTGTTTTGTCTCTTTCCTCTTTGGAGCAAAACAGAGTATGCGTGTTCTTTTGTTTGGAACTGCGGTTAAAGTTAGAAGTATCCTCCCCCCCCCCCCCCCCCCCTTCTCCCTCCCCGCTCTCATTGGGGCGATCACGTAGTGCACGTGCGACCAGTTACCAGTTGTTTGAGTGGTTCGAGTTTCCTCTCGCATCGATGCCCCACTCCGCATCTAAACTAGTTAGTGTCCCACCTCGTTGACTTTGTAAGTGGTCGAGATACGTAGCCAAGGCGCGGCGCATCTAATACAAACAAGCGATCGCCGTTTTTTTTTTTTGTTTTTTTTCTGATGAGTTAAAGGGTTGCTATCAACTCTGCTAGTGTCGAGGAATGTGCTCACTTTGGGAACCAAGTTGGACTGACAAGTTTGGCGTCTGTCAGGACACCCCTCACAATAAAATTTCGAGTGTTGTATGTTCTAACTGCCTTCAACGGGCGACTTAATTGTCTCTCAGCCGTAGATGAGCAGTTTAGCCAATGCGGTACAACCACTAGCCTGGGGTCTTTAACGTGCACCACGCAGTAGTGATGCACGACCGCACGCCGGTACGATGCTCATCCAGATCGAAACGGGCAGGGGTGGGGATTGAGCCAATGGACCTTTTCCGAGAAGCGTTCTGCGCACGCGCGAGCGCCCGATGCCAAGCGGCGGAAGTCGGAACGAAAAATCGAGGAAATTCGGAAGGAGGCTGTATATCAGCGAATAGAACACGTAACTGCAGCATATATATAATTGTGTTACACAAAAAAAGAACGTCGATGGAAAGGAAAACACGACGTTTGGGTGGACGCCACGGATGCCTCTCTTTCAAGTCGCGTTGGGCTGCCGCCGCTGCTTAGAGAGCGAAGAAACTGGTAGCGTAGCTCCCATTATCGATTGGTAGCGCAGGTAGGTCACTTCCTCGATTTTTAGTTCGTGCAGCCACCGCCTGGTGCCGTCTGTATGTGAAAAAGGTCCATTGAGCCCAGGATCCCCGGGGTCTGCACCACGAGCTTTCGCTCCACGTGCTCCGAGCTGGTGTGCGATGGCCCACTCGGCCACCGATCCCCCTACACTAAAACACGAAAAAGCGCCAATATCATATTAGCGCTAACAGTTTAGCGTTGTGGATTGTTTGTACTACCACTTTAGGCAAATGAGAACTCAACAGCGCGTGACTCTAATCGGTAAAAGCAACTTAAATGCACGTCTAGCTCAAACCCTGGTACTGTCTATTCATGAAAATTTGAACTATTTCGAAA